GAGCAGGAGAGGCAAGGACATGCTGCAACAGGATGAGTGAGGGGGATTAAGTGAGTAGGACCTCTCATAGAAGGACCAAGGTGAGGGAGTTCAGCCCGGAGAAGAGAAGGCTGAGGGAGGGAACTTCTTGGTGAGTCTAAATCTCTGTTTGCAGGGAGGATAAAAGAGAACAGAACCAAACTCTTGCCAGTAGTGCCCAGTGGCTGCCCCATCCCTGGAAGTGCTCAAGGCCAGGTTAGATGGGGCTTGGAGCAAGCTGGTCTAGTGGAAGGTGTCCCTGCCCAAGACACGGGGTTGAAACAAGATCATCTTTAAGGTCTCTGCCAACCCAAACCACTCTGTGATTCTATGATGCTACAACTCAATTGAAACATAGAAAAAGCTTTATTTCCATAAAGGCAATCAAGAGTGAAACCCCAGAAAGGTTGTGGGGTGCCCATGGTTAAAGCTATTCAGAGTGGACACACTCCTTGGCAGCCTGTCTGGTTGCCCTGGCTTTGAGCAGGACGAGGTCATCTCCAGAAGTCCCACCAAATTTCCACCATCCTGTGATTGTGTGTGAAGATGCAGAGTGTCACCCCCACAAGCAAAGGGAAACCTTTCCCTTGTTTTGCCCAGTGGCATCATGACTATCACATGGCAAAACAAGGGTAAGGGTTGAGGTAAAGTGGACAAGAAGTTTGTAGCTGAGACAAGAGCGATGCAACTTTACTAGTGGACACAGTTTGAGAGCAGACTAATTAATTTTCCAGCTGTAAGAAGGTACCAAATGCTCTTGGAGGCAACAGGCTCAAAGACCTCCCAGACTCCCAGAATCAAAGAAGAATATGCTGCGTTGGAAGGGAAGGATCATGGAGTCCAACTGCTGGCCCTGCACGGGACCATTCCCAAGTCACACCATGAGCAGGAGAGTATTGTCCAAACACTCCTTGAGCTCTGTCAGCCTTGGTGCTGTGCCCACTGCCCTGGGGAGCCTGTTCAGTGCCCAGCCACCCTCTGAGTGAAGAACCTTTTTTGAACATCCAACTTAAACCTCCCCTGACACAACTTCAGGCCATTGCCTTGGGTTCTGTCCCCGGTCACCTCAAGAGATCAGTAGCCACCCCTTCTCTTCCCCTCCCCAGGACGCTGTAACTGCAATGAGGACTCCCCTCAGTCTCCTCTACATGAGACATTCTCCTTACAGAGAAACGACCCAGGGAAACAATATAAGGTTGTCTTTCATCAGTACATTGTCCTCCTGATGAAGCTGCTGAGGGCGTTGTTCACCTCCCGGTTCCTCAGGCTGTAAACCATGGGGTTCACCAAGGGCACTACGATGGTGTAGAAGACAGATGCCACTTTCTTGCTCCTCAGCGCGTGGGCCGAGCTGGGCTGCATGTAATTAAAGGCGAGGGCCACGTAGCAGATGCCGAGGGCTGCCAGGTGGGCGGCGCAGGTGGAGCAGGCCTTGCGCCGTCCCGCCACAGGGCCCATCCTGCCCACGGCCAGCGCAGCGCAGGCGTAGGAGCCGAGGATGAGCAGGCTGGTGGCAACGATGTTGAACCCCGCCAGGACAAAGAGCAGAGCCTGGTTGGGGCGCGTGTCCGTGGTGGCGACGAGGAAGAGCGGTGGCCCGTCGCAGTAGAAGTGGTCGATGAGCAGCGGGCCGCAGAAGGACAGCCGGAGCGCCGCGCCAGTGTGGGCGGCGGCGCTCAGCAGCCCCACAAGGAAACAAGCGGCCACCAGCCTCGTGCAGAGCACGGGGGACATGATGAGCTGGTAGAGGAGGGGCTTGGAGACGGCCACGTAGCGGTCGTAGGCCATGGCTGCCAGCAGGTAAACCTCGGCCGTGCAGAACGCGGCGTAGAAGTAGAGCTGCGCGAGGCATCCGGCAAAGGAAATGGCTTTGGTGTCTGCTGGGAGGTCCAGCAGCATCCTGGGGCTGATGGTGGAGGAGTAGCAAACGTCCAGGAAGGCCAAGGCAGTGAGGAAAAAGTACATGGGGGTGTGGAGGCGGGGGCTGACCCTGATGAGGGCGATCAGGCCCAGGTTCCCCACTAATGTCAGCGTGTAGGTGCCCAGGAAGAGCCCGAAGAGGAGGAATTTCAGTTGTGGGTGTTGGGTGAGTCCTGCCAGGGTGAACTGGGGCACCTCCGTGCAGTTCCCATCAGCCACCCTTCCATTCCTGCAGAGACACCTGCAGGGTGAAACAATTCCTGATGCAATCTCCACTTCCTAAATATCAATGTAAAAAAGCTGGCACTGGCACGGAATTGAAATGGAAAAGAAAAAAATGGACGAACTGCTGACTTTTTTCTTGCTATGACAGAAATGCTTCTTCCATCTCTGGAAGAGGCATCAGCAGATCTTACAAGTTTTTTTTCCTTAAGTCCTTACATAAAGTAGTTTGTCCCAACCTCCCGTTTGACCCAATTCCCTTCCAGTTTCCAGCCCCATATCTGTGCAAGGACATTTTGGGACAGATTAAATGCTTCACAAATATCCTGCTCACAGTTGCAACCCTGTAACCTTACTCAAACTGATGAATTTTCCTGTATTTCAAACTCTTACTTCATTTCAAATACCTTAAGGCTACAGTTAATACAAGGTCTCACCACCAAATGAAAGTATTTAAAAACCCAGAGCCTCTTGTAATTAAGTAATAGAGAATGTATTCATTTCTTCAGATGTCTCTTCTCCTGCAGCTCCTGAGGTGAAATACACTCCAGGAATGTGTCTGCAGCCTGCCTTTTGTCAGTAAATATTCTCTTTTTGGGATCTGTGTTACTGGGAGAACAGTGATCAGGTATTGCCACTGGATTAGATATTTCCAACACTTGTAATTGAAACCTTCCCTCAGTTCCTCATCCTGTTGATATCCATTTGATTCCTCTACAGTCTTCACCCAGACTTGACACTGCAGACTCTTGCGCCATTGAATCTGCCTGAATTCCTGTGTAAAAGTGTCTCCAACAAGTATTGTCCTTTTTCTCCTCTTCATCTTTGCTGCATTTTTTATCACTGAATTCTGAATCAAATCCTTAATTTTCCTGCCTTACCTCAGA